GTCTTTCAACAAGGGCAAATCAGTGACACTACTTCCTCACCTTCCGTGCAAGTCCTAGCATTTTAAGCTGAGAGTTAGGCTACGGAAGATCAAATAAAAAAAATACTTAACAATATAGTAATAAGGAACATACTCAGCCTATTTCAGAGATAGATAGGCCATCTCTCTCTCAGCATCCATAGAAGTTTCATTCAATGATCTCTACATTAAATCCTGCTATGTGGCATTGTAGTTTTTCCTGCTATAGTTTACAGCATGAATAAGGAGGCCAGGAACTATCACCGGGGTAGCTTTCTCTTTACTTAAATCTCTTATAAATTCTGGGCCCACGACCAGGCTGACGTCTCTTCTTTCAAATTATTCTGTCAGTTTTGCGGAGGGGGGGGTGACCGCAAAGGACATCTCCCAGCACGGAACTCTGATAATGAAATGGGAAGACTGAATTTATTTGAGGGTGAAGTTTAAAAGACAAATGACACACTTGAGAAAATATTTACAACATGTATGAAAGCGTTCGCAGCGTGGATATAGAAAGAGCGTGTTTTCTGTGCCTGCTGGGACCCATTGCCACACACTTGGCTTAAAGCAGCTCCCGTTTTAGTCTCTGTCCAGCCTGGAGGTCAGAGGTCCAGTGGCGCCAGGTGCTCATCCCAGGGCCGCGCAAGGCCTAAGTCAAGGCGTCAGCGCCTGGAGCAGGCTCCAGCAGGTCCTGGCAGAATTTACTGCCATCGGGGTGAGGACTGAGGTCCCCGCTGCTGAAGGCTGGCCAGGGGACATTCTCAGCTCCTAGAGGCCACTGCATCTCTTCACTCATGGCCCCTCCATCATCAAGAGCGCATCGCATCCTTTTCATGCTCCAAATGAGAGGCTTCAAAATTCCCTCCGAGATCTTTCTGGCTTTGCCTGTGGCCACATCTCTTTGCTTCCAAGGGCTCATGCAATTACACTGGGCAGCCCGGATAACCCAGGATCATCTTCTTCTAGTATTTAAGATCAGCTGATTAGTGACTTTAATTACATCTGCAAAATCCCTTTTGCCGCTAACCTATCATAACTACAGGCCTGATGCCAGTGGGTGATGGTCATGGGGGCCAAAATTCCGCCTCCCACCGAGCTCAGAAAAGTCAGTTAAAAAAAAAAGATTAAATTCTCCATAGATAGGAACGGAGCAAAGAACATGAGCCAGAAGTTCACAAAAGCCCACCAGAGTGGCTCGGTTGATTGAGCATCATCCTGTGCAACAGCGGGTTGCTGGCTCAACCCCTGGTCGGGGCACATGCCTGGGTTGCAGTTGCAGTCCCTGTCGTGCCCGTGCAAAAAGGCAGCCGATGTTTCTCTCACTTTCTGAACATGTCCTCTGGTGAGGATTGAAAAAGTAAAAAAAAAAAAATTTTTTTTGCGTTCACAAAAGAAATTATATCAACAATGAATGCGTGAAATAAGCTCTGCCTCATTAGAAGAGATGCTGATTAAAATAACAACGAGCCCTAGCCGGTTTGGCTCAGTGGCTAGAACATCAGCCTGCAGACTGAAGGGTCCCGGGTTCAATTCCAGTAAGGGGCACATACCTCAGTTGCAGGCTCCTCCCTAGCCTGGGCCCTGGTTCAGGGAGAGTGCAGGAGGCAACCAATAGATGTGTTTCTCTCATATTGATATTTCTCTCTGTCTTTCCTTCTCCCACTCTCCCTAAAAATCAATGGAAAAATATCCTCAGGTGCGGATTAAAAATAACATATATATATATATATATATATATATATATATATATATATATATATATGTAAAAGCCTAATATGCAAAGTGTCCCCTCTGGAGTACGACTGGGAGACTGGGAGTTTGATCGCTTGCTATGACATTCGCTGACCACCAGGGGGTGGCACAGAGCGAAGGAAGGCCCCAGCCGGCAGCCAGAAAGCCCCAATCAGCCCTGATCGCTGGCCAGGCCTAGGGACCCTACCTGTGCACAAATTTCGTGCACTGAGCCTCTAGTAATAATAATAACAATGAGATCGGTGAGCACATCAATTGGCTAAGGTTTGAAAGATGATAATGCTCAGAGGGCTCAGAGGGCCAGGGTGTGGCTAGCCACAGGATGTGTTCATGGTTTGATTTTATTTTTAACATTTTTAAAACTTGACAAAAGTAAGATATTTTTATTCTGAAAAAGGAATTAATAGATGCATGCAGCTCTTAGCAACAATGGCCCATCCCCTAAGGACTTGTCTTATTGCAATTAAAGGATTCCCTCGATGTTTGCCGAATGGGTTACAGCACAGTGTACGCATTTGCCCTGACTGCATGGTGTTGGTGTTGAGGCTGGTGTAAATACAGGGGGCTAACAGGATCTCTCACCAAAGGGGAGGTGGAAATTAACTAGGGGGGGAGGGTCCCGGCTTAGCCCATAGGAAGGCCAGCATATTGTCCCTGGTGCAGCCAGACTGTCCCCAGGATGCAGACAGATGCCCTCTAGGCTGTGTCCATCACTAGCTTTCAGTCAGCCGGCCTGGTACTTAGGGGTGCCTGCAAGGAGAGAAAGGGCTCGTGGGGCCCTCTGGGCAGCTGGGTCCTCACAGCAGGCCCCTGTGTGGGTCCCCTGGGCACTGGGGCGCTGTCCGGCTCAGCCTCAGGATCACTCCCTGTCACAGCCGGCAGTGTCGAGGGATCGATGCTGGTCTGGAGGTGAAACCAGAGAGACGTCTAACTGGCCCTATGTGACTGTCACAAATAGCCCCAAGCTCCACGGTTTAAAACAGCGCTGCTATCTCCCATTTTGCTGAGACGGGAATCGGAGTGTGGCTCAGCCGGATGCCCCCGGCGCTGGGTCTCTCACAGGCCCGATCACCATGTG